ATGGGCCTGCTTTAACTTATTTTAAAGGTAATTACAATTTTCAATCCAGATACTATTTAGATAGTACTTAGTTTTATAAACTAAAAATATAAGTAATGGATCAACAATAATATATAAACATGAAAATATTAATTCAAGAGATATTTTATTTTAACACAAATGCTTTATGAATACTGTTTGTAAAATTAACATAATGCGTCTAAATTCAGATACCAGAGGAAGTATGTAATAATATATTGTTGATTAAGTTATTAAAATCTTTGAAGTTACTAAAATATTTTATTATAAGGTGAATAAATTTTATATAACTACGGTATAGATTGTTTGTATGAATGTTTTGATTTTACATACAGAGTTTTAATTTAAAAACATATATATTATAATCTATTTTTCTAAGCAATCATCAACTACTTCTACGTCTAGTGTCAAAACCAAAAACTGCCAAAATTCTTTAATATCTTTGTGTCTATATCACCAACGTCATTTATTAAGATATTTTATAAATTTGACATGCATTTATTATAATAATTGCCCAAAGACGCAACACCTTCATGATAAAAACAGCCAAACCGGTATGAAACCTGATCTTTGTTTTTATGACTCAATAAAATAATTTCAATTTGAATCGTATAAACAATAGCAGATACCTATTTACCTACTGGTTGTAGAAAATAGGTTGGTTTTACAGTAATTCCATATGTTTAATTTTTTTTACGTTTTTATGGTACATTTATTAAACCTCGCCTATTGTTAAATGGTAAAAAAATCGTAAACATTATAGACGAAATATTCAAATGTGTTTACCTAAACGTGAAGAGATTTGAGATTGTATCTTTAATAAAATATCTGTCCATGCTGTCATTACTATAATATAAAGACGGTTTTTATTTGAATAATTTTTATTAAAGCAGTTATAAGATTTATCTTACTATAACATTTATTATTCCGAGCAATTATCATTTGGCATAACATTATTTGATGTTATTTTGCGCTTACTGAGACGTTCTGTTTTAACGCGAGCCGAGGGAGCGAGTGCATTGTGAGAGCAATTAATCCCGGATTCCCGGGACCAGAAAGCGGGGCCGCTCCCGGCGACAATCACAGACAACGGCGCCCACGGGACCGAACAACTTAAATCTTTGCCAACTTCGCGCTCACTTCATTGTAATTGTACTTAGCTATTGTCTTTATTTGCTGCAGTCTTAGAAATTTTTCGGAGTCCCAAAAATTTCAAGCTGAGTATGTATTTAATTAAAATAAGATAATTTGTTTTTGTAAACTCAACATTAAAAAAAACATTGTGACATTTTAAGAACCCCTTTTCATTTTAACTTATTTCTGAAGTGCAATTTAAATTAAACACATATTGAGTTGTGTGCACAATTTTAGTAAATGTTTTTATCTATTGTGATAATAACTATCTACTTATGTATTATCTTCTCATCAATATACATAAGTACGTTGAAATGCACAATTTTACTTGGAATAATAGTATCACGCTAGCTTACGTACTATTATATCGGTATAAGAATTCCTACCCATATCTGTGTACACAAAGTCTTACCTTCAAACAAATATACATATTTCTTTTTGTTTGCACAATCGTAGGAGCGTTATGGAAATAATTCTTTATTTACTGTCATTCATTCACCAATCCCATCAGTAGACCTCTGTCCGGGATATCGAATTGACGGGGGTCCGACCAGATACAGCAGAATCAACGCCTTCTTTGTAAACAGACCATTAAAACTTTACGCATTAAGCTAAACTGGAAAGCTCGTTGAAGGCTTTCTTTTGTGTGGAGGTATCAGCATTGTGGGGAGTCTTATGGATCTAAATACATCAGCAGCAAACAGTAGGAGGTGTTTTTTATTTAGGTAAAAGTGTTATTGTTTAAGTTTGTATGTAACTAATCGAGTATTTAACGCCTGTTTTGTCTCGTGCCACAACTGGCACCGACCTGTCAACTGCCATCAATCTTTCGCTGACGAATTATTTGCTTTTGCTCTGTCACGTGAAACATAGCGCTGTTTTGAAGTTAGACGTCTGTATGAAGAAAATATACAAACATGATTTAAGTGATGATCGATCTTAATGATCTGACGCTTTTGACGTCATGTCTAATCAAAAATATTTAGTTTCAGTACAAAACTACAGTGCTAAATGTAAACGGCATCAGTGAGGCTATGTCATCTATATGTTGAATAAAGTAGGTGTTTATATTCGTTGCATCCCCTTCGGGTTGGTTAGAAGTCCTAAACAGACTTAAACGTGTACGTAAAGTTGGTGGAGCGTCGCTTTACGACCCGCCCTACGACGGGGTTATAAGGTTGTAAGGTACGGCCCTTTCGCATTGAGAGAATATTATCAGCAACATACATTTATAAAATGTATATCACGTATTTGAATTAAAGCAAAACTAGCAATCATCTTATAGCTTCTGTCAAAATAGAATCAATATCACTTGAAAATACAAGTTGTCTTGAGGTTATCGGTGTATTAGTTGATAGCCGCTCCCTCTTCTATCAAAAACACATTACAATCGTTTACAAGAAGGTAACCAGTGATAGTCCGATAGGCCGTGATGTTTGATAACCACGTTCAAAGGCACCGCTATCGCGAGCTTGTCGCGCATTAATATAAGCGGGATTTCGGCGGTCCGACAAAGCACCTAGCATAACATTACATTACATTCAGATTAATTGTTTTCTCTTCATAAATCGCTCCAACATCGTGTTCGACATGCAATCATACTAGCTGATACGAACTTTCAGTACACGTGTAATCCGGACTGATAATTTTATTAGCTGTCTTCATTATTTACCGATATTGGACTTTATTCCGTGTTAGTCACATTTTCGACTGTATCAAGTTATCGGATATAATTTCGTATCTAATGATATATTAATTTGTAATATGACAACAATAGTTTGTAAATATATAGATTTTTTGTTAGCTGGATCGAATAAATTGAGAATATAATGCTGTTACGAAGCTTGTACCGAGCCGGTTTATCTGGCAGTGTATTTGTCTTTGATAGCAGCTGACTAAAAGTGCTATCCGCCCTCGGCCGCCGTGCCCGCCCGCGCTGTTTGTCCTCCACAAACAACAAACTTTTTTCCTAAAACCCACCACGATAACAGTCTACACGACGTTTCGCTATTTAGTTTATTAGTTAGCGAGTGGCCATCGTAAGTCATAAATTAGCGTATTATATTGGTCACTATATATTTAAAAGTTGAATAAGTCATGTAATGAAGGAACAGCTACATATGTGGTTGCAATTCGATAAGACGGCGAATTTAAATATATTTTCTTTTCAAAAACTTTTTTTTTACTATAATACCGCAATCTTAAAATTATCTTAATAGTTGTATTATCGTTACAATAAGATAAATAAGAGTTGCAAAACATTAAAAAAAATATACGCAATAGCGATGGACTGAGTCTGAGAAAACCTAAGTTATACAAATAAAATAATTGTTATCTATGCTATATTACAAAAGAATACCGCATGTGTGAGGGCAGACGATACAAGATGCCCTGCCGGCCACTGTTAGTCTTGAAAATTAACGACTCCTATCAAACACCGCATCGCCTATAGATAGAGCATATTTGTTTACTTGACTAGTTCCCTTTTGTTTGCCCCTTTAACAGGAAATTTATTTAAGTTATAATTTTCTGTCATTCGAGCACTCCAAAGAGTTTATCTTACATCTATATACATAATATTGTTACAGATTTTCGAACTCGTGTAAGAAAACATGTCACAGTGTTGACTTTTGACCCTGTACGATAGCGTTTTTGTGTTCCTTTGCATAGATTTTGGTAAAATTATAGTATATTGGCCCCTTTGATTTTTTTTAGATACAGAATATTAACTTGTATATACTGTCATAAATATTAATGCGTCCGTGTAAAATGACTTTATTTGTAAGGTGTATTTTTATTATGCTGTTGTATTTGATGTTGTTACGTAAATGAGAAAACCAAGAAATGTATCTAACCTAACCTACTGACATAAATATATCTGTAATGTTTAATTGAATTTCGTCCTTTTTCGTTTTATATGGTTAATAAAATTACTAGACTCATTCTCTCATGTGACAAACATAATTTATGAAGTCTCTAATACCGAGATAAGGTATATTTACACAATGTGTATACAAGCAGACATCTCAGCTCTGTCTTAGTGTTGTGTCAACAGATCTACGTATCTTGGTAATTTTACTCGTTGAGAAATCTACACTACAGATAAAAAAAAATGTAAATAGAAATTACCATTTTCGACAGAATTGTTAAAATATCCCGAGTGTTTGATATAATCACTACAAACATCATAAAGTGATGGATTATAAAGCAAATTGAGCACTCAAAGATACATGCATATCACATTCAATATTAAAGTCCTAATATAAAAAATATAATGGCATTACTTACAACGTAAAATTTTGCAGAATTTCTAACTCTTATCTTTCCAGCGGAAACCGCTATCGGAAAAGATTTTTCTGTATGCTTTTGTCTCATTTAAAAACCTTACAAAATAGCACTTGTAAATCAAAACGAATGTATTTTTAGTTATACAAAAAGCATTACAATCTTACCTAAAACTGATTCGCCAGGTAATGGATTACAAATTACGCTATTTGCATTATTAAAAAGTCAAGCACACAAATATACATATATGATGGAATAGTTATACCATAGTATAAGTTAAATGTTTAACAAAATGATAGAACGTTCCTGATGGTATATACTGTCCCGTACTGTGTGGTCTCTCAGATAATCTCATAGCTAAGCCTTCATGTGCGGCGTCTGTGTTCCCCGCCGCCTGGATTAACGTTATCGAGCCAGAGAGGTCCTGGCTTATGTAAACACTTCAACCTCTTTATAATATACATAGACACCATTTTAAAAATATTAATTCACATATTTTTTATACCCCATTATATGGAAGTTTCATAGAGTTTTATAATTATTGAAAATTTCTATTGCTGCAGGGAAAACACGCACGAAAGATAAATATCGGGTAGTGTATACTGATCACCAACGATTGGAGCTGGAGAAAGAATTCCACTATAGTCGATACATCACCATCAGACGGAAAGCCGAGCTCGCTGTTAGCTTGGGACTCTCCGAAAGACAGGTATTTTGAATTTGAGACATACAAATCTCTATTGAAGTAATAATCACTGTATAAATATACGTTAACGACAATTAGTTCAAGAAGTAATATTTAATTTTTTTTAAATGAAATCCACCTTAATCCAATTGTTAAGGTCATATATTTAATTGAACAAAATTTTTAATATTTGTTTTAACTTTAGGTAAAAATATGGTTTCAAAATCGACGCGCCAAAGAAAGGAAACAGGTAAAGAAACGTGAAGAAGTGGTGATGAAAGAAAAGGGAGATCATGCATCCCTCCAGCATGCGCAGCTTCATCACGCGACAATGCTGCACCACCAACACATGATGAACGGTATGATGCATCATCATCACTACCATCAAGGAGTTTTGCAAGGCGTGCCAGAGCCGTTAGCACCAGGGGTGGCACCAGTTCCTCTCCTGTGACCCGAACAAGACTTCTGTGCTCCTATGTATAGTGACAACCCAGTGATTTAGACTTCTTACCTATGGTAAAGGCTTATGCAATTTCTATTATAGACTTGTGATATATGTGCAATATTCTTACGAGAATATTTGGTGCGGTTTTGGTACCTTTATAGTGTAATAATTAACATCGGACCTCCTATAGGAGAACACTTTAGGGTCTAGGCTTTTTTCATTGACGTCTTTCTTTCTTATTTGAAAATGTTACGTACTTGGTTAATGACAAAAGTCTCGACTCGAGAGTCGTGGACGCACTTCATCGCCTTCTTTAGTGCTATTACTTAAGTTTTAGGTGCCTCTAAGCGGTCATGCCTTATGGCCCATCCGGCCTTACATCGCTGAATACTGTAGTTACAATTTTAATTTAAACTTTGTCGTTTGTAAATATAGATTACTATATTTTTATATTATTATAATTATGAAGCATTTTAAATATGATTGTTTTTAATATTTCCTTTGATATTTCTCGACGCTCCGACAAACGTTGATGAGATTATTTTAAATCTGATTTTATATAACTCTACAGTTTCTTTATACGTTTTCTATTAATTTGCTTAATTTCGGTCGTTTATTAACGATCGGCAAATATAATAGAATATTCATGAAATTATTAATCGGTTAAGAATCTCATTTAAAATGTGTACTATCACAGAGCGTGACCATTTTTATGGCGCATTTATTGCATCGGTAGCGACGAGAAATAATATTATTTTTTTTTACTATGAATGAGATTATTTCTAGTTTTAATGTTCTGTAAATAAAATAAGTAGAATAAAATAGACATAACTTTATCTCAGTTTTAACGACTATTACACAAAATTGATCACTGAACACCTAATTATTATGACTACGAATTTCCGCAATTTTAATATTATTCTTACATTCATTATACTTTTGATTACTTTGTTGAAATAATGTAACGGTATATTATTTATTGAACAATATATGTAATAACAGAATTATTGTTTGTCGTTTTGTTTTGTGATGCAAACGTGCGATTATGGTGCTAACTGATTTGTGACTGAATCATTTTATTTTACATTATAGAAATGACATTAACTATTGATGGAATTTCAAAGGGATCTAATGATATTGTGCTTGTAATATATGAATGTTGTTTTAGGGATTGTTTGTGAACACCGTGTTATTAGTATTGTACGCACTATCACGAAACACATTTGATAAACTCAATAAATTCATGTTAATCTATGTTGGATTTTATTTTATTTTTTGTAGCAACCTTTCCTCTATTCATATATATTTTAAACGACGACTTTTTATTTTTACATTTATTTAAACAAATTCTAATTACATTAGTTTAAAACCATTTAAATATATCAATTATTTTAAATGATAATGGTTAATTGTTCAGTTTAATTTAAATTACCATATATAATATTCCCTACTTATGAAGTTACTATGTAACTAATTTAAATAAGATTAATATGGTGAAACATCAAAATAGATAGATTTTTGTGTAGGCTTATATGTAGACTTATGGGAAGGCTAGACATTTCGTTTGTACGGTTGTTTGTGTTTAGTTACTCGAAAACCCGAAATACGAAATTTCAATAATAAGTCTTTGCATCCCAATTTTCACAACCTAAGTGAAAATTTCCTTTCCATTAAATTTGCAGTACAGGTGATTCTTGCTAAGTTATTCTCTTGTGATTCTTACTAAGTTATTCTCTTAAATCGATTATTCATACGCTTGGCTTCCTTGAACGGAGTACAACGTAAAATGTAGTAAAAAAAATAACTTTGATTAATTATAGGAAAATAAATATAGTATCTGTGTTTGTTAATTGATAAAAATGACGTATTATTTATATTAAATAGTGCGATATGATGTGGGACTAATGATATAGTTTTTATTATAACAACCGCCTTTCAGCTAAATGACGTTTGGTCTAAAAATCCCTTCGCAGAATTCGGATTTTCCGTACAGATTAATTAATTATTTACGCATGATTGATAACATTCTTAATACAAAAAGACGGAATTATCATCTGACAGGGTAATAGGTATATTTAGTATAATGTTTTTCTGTATTATCGCTTGTGATTTCTATTCTATTACTAGTAATAGCTTATAACTTTGTCCCGGAGATTAATTGTATATTTCTTTTTTATATCTTAAAATTTTACGTTTATCAATCGCAACTGGAATTAAAGGTTTTGCTTGATATTCGAAGTATCTCTACGTATGTGACTGTTTATAGAATAACTGCATTGAATTAATTGTTAATAGAAGACATGATAAATATTATCTTCTTCTACCTAGCAATTACCCAGCTATAGCCAGGATCTGCCTTACATGTTGTGAAATGTTTTTGGCTATTTGTTTTTCGACCGGCCGCCTGCCTGACATCAACCCTCTTTTTGGGAATCAACATTAATCAGTGATGTCTAAATACTCTTAGAAAGTACATATGATTCGGAAAAATCACATTGTTACTTGCCCGGGCCAAGATCGAACCCGCGCCCTCGAGGACGAGAGGCGGCCCCTTTAACCACTGAGCCACCACTGACACTGGATAAGTATTATATCATGTAATAAGTTTTCCATATCAAATAGACGGTCTCGAGAAAAACTTGTCCCAATGAATCCTTATATCTACAGTTAAATACGAAATATATTTATACCTATAATAAATAAATTCTTAATATCCGAAGCTTCTTAGCTATTATTTAATAAAGTATTATTTAATAAATATATGTAGATGTAAAAACTCAAAGAAAATTAATATAGTCTTTTCAGAAACCAATATATTTTTAACAAAGGGATCGATAATTTCTTTCGTGTTCCAGAGGGAATGTTTTATAATCAATATAATCAAAAAGTTACAGATATTTATAGTTGTATAATAATAATAATTTTAAAAAAATATATGAATATTTTCTTTATCAATTGAGTAAAATGTTTCAGTTTCAGTACTTCTTTGACGTATTGATTAAAAATAAGTTAATTTTATAAGTATGTTTATAAGTTTTAGGTATCTGACTGAAAAGTATTTTGCATAAGGTTTCTAATTAATATAAATAATAGTTTCGGTTTTTGAAGACATTCCTTAAAGTAATATGTACTTACTACCGATATTTTGAATATATCATATACATCGGCGATATACTGTTTTATAATTTTACTTTCTATTGAGCATGTTTTGATTCCACCTTTTTTCTATACTATTGTTTGTAATTGTAGTACTAGTTCAACTTCAAATTTATCTATTATATTTTTGGTGGTTCAAATGTTAAATATTTAAAAACACTAAACTATAAATAAATCTTTTTATATTTTTTCAGGAGATTCATAAAATATAATTGCACGATACCGTGCACGTATTTTGAATGCTAAGCCAGTGAGATAATCTAAGAAATCAAATTTTTCAGTTTGTGTCAGCCCTCAATCAGTAGGAAGTAAGGCGCTAACGGCCAACCAATACCGCTAAATGTTGTGTAAACCGATGCTTATTGAAGGCATTTTGAAAGATCTTCAAAGTACTAGCCGCCTATTCAAATATGTAAAGTTTGCGTATGCAGAAAATACACTACTAATTAAACATAATTATTAATTACAATTATGCTCGATTAACATTCCTTTAATTGATCATACCGAAATAAAAGAAAATGAAACGGATGAATAATACAAACTATAATGACGAATAAGCCTTTTGCACAAATTATTGACAACAATTTATGTCCCCCGGGAATGCTTAGAACTTATACACACTCACTTTACAGCATAAATATGGAGGCTGCAAGATATTTTGACTACCTATATATATATATATTATCAAATAGAGATATGCTTTGTATGTGACTATTTAATATTGAATTATTGTTTGTTATATTATATTAGTATTTTATGTATTTAACCTTTTTCTTACTTTCTTTTTTGTTTATTCTTTTTCTGACTACAAATATAACGAATAAACGGGATTTAATATTCGATATTTTAATATTTTCTTTTAAAGTATTTGAATCTCTTGGGTTGCAAATGTTAGTGAACTACGGGACGGTGACCATTCGTCATTGGACGGTCTTCTTATTTTCCATCTGTGGTATTAAATTTTTTTTTATTACGTATCATAAAAGAAAAGTGATTGGAATGTTATAACTAATGTATGTACTCTTTATGCGACCACCATGTCGTTCGACAATCCTCTGTACCCAGCATAGAGAAGTTTGCTTTATAATGTTTGCAGTTGACAGCAATCTTACAGATCGTTAGCATGTCACGCCTAACTGGCGTGGAATGTCAACAGAGCTGTAACCCTTCACCTAATTAAATCACGAGGCGAGTCATTACGGATGCAAACAGTTGTATAGTAGAAATGCGCCGGATATTTGTTCTGTGATGCATTCACGTTTCTATGATTCTCTTGTTATGTGAGTCATGATCAAAACATTTCCTAAATTTATGTTATTCTCTTAATATTGGATTGATATGCTAGTAAAATGTATGAACACTCTTATTATTTTTTCCCTATCGTTAGTATTTTCCGTGTCTAAAATACTAAAAATTATTTTATCGTGATTTCCTAAACATTAATAGAGATCTAATAACGAGCGATCAATAGGTTTCATCAAGCCTTACTCTGTTCTTAAAGCGGCTTCGGATAGCATTACAATGATGCGTATACAGGGTGACTGGTGAATTACTATCGATATTTGAGGACGTGATATTTGACGATCATATATGACGAAATAAAAATTAATATGACATAAATATTAATAAACTTCTAAGTAAAGTTAACCAAAAGTTGTGTAATTAATTACGCATCGTATGAACACCCTACAGATTACTCTACACTACACACTCACACATACGCGCGCGGCGGCGTGTTGTTGTATCAGCACGCCGCCGCACGCGTCCACACTAGGAACACTTGGAACGTGTACACACTTTATTTATTTATACGGAAATTTGGTCAAAAATTAAGTACCTATTTTTTTTTACATAATTCGAATGAGAATCATGTACCGAGTATGCTCCTTAAATATTGATAGTAATTCACCAGTCACCCTGTATATGAGAAATAATACAAAATCCCTGAGGATATTTGTCCATCAGCCTTCAAAATTACTATATTTATTGTTTAGCGAAATTTAACGCGGGTTGTGTTAATCGATCTTACTTTTCCTTGGGACACCAACATTCCT